AAACCTACGTGGGCCCCGCGGGGTGCGGGCAGAGCTGCAAGATCGCGAACCAGATAACGATTGGCGCGAATTTGGTTGGGCTGAGCGAGGGTTTGGTTTTCGCGAAGCACGCGGGGTTGGACTTGAAGCAATTCGTGGAGGGTATCAGAAACGGTGCTGCGGGTTCTAAAGCGTTGGAGATATTTGGGGAGAGAATGATTGAAGGGGATTTCCGACCAGGTGGGTTTGCAGAGTACCAGGTTAAGGATTTGGGAATGGGAGTTGATGTTGTTGAAGGAGCCAAAGACGATGATGTTGTTGTGTTGCCTGGGGCTTCCTTATGGAAACAGCTGTTTACTAGTATGGTGGCCAATGGACAGGGAAAGCTTGGCACGCAAGGGATTATCTCTGTCATTGAGAGGATCAATGGGATGAATCAATGAATCAAAGAATGGAAATTCCTGTTCTATGTAACCAAATAATATGTTCATGTTGTAACTTTTACTTTGAACTTTGAAATGCTTGAGGTGGAGCAAGTGTGTTGTGTTTAGTTTAACTAGTGTTGTTTACAACTTTGGATTGCCTCTTTAGTTATGGTGATTGTGTTTTTTATGTGCCACTTTTATAAAAATCCATGCTGATTTTAAAATTCCACAGAAAATGCTCTATTGGTTTTGCTTTTCTAAAAAACAAAATATGACGTTTTTAAAACTAGTTCCTCCATTATAAGGTATCAAATTCATGTGTTTTCTAGCAGATACAATGACCAGAATTGAGGTGAAGAATGCATTGACAGAACAAGTTTGGTTGGTTCCTGAGTGTAAGAAGGTTCTTTATGTTTGATTCCTTGTTAGATAGTTTTTTAGAGTTATTGTTTTTATTATACAAAGTGGTTGAAACGAAAAAATATAAATTTAAAAAGAGATTCAAATTTCTTTATTCAAAGAAAAAGATAGAAATTAATTAAAATTTAACACAAGAAAGCACTGTTTTTTAAAATAAAAATGAAAATTAAAACCTTTGAAAATGGTGTGAGTGAGTTAAAAAGATATAATAATAAACAAAGGAGGAAAACCTATTAATCTTGTGATACATAGAAAACATAGAGAAAATCAAGAGGTTATTATTGTAATTTAATTATTTCGTATTCTGATGGAAGTACTTGGCGGGAAAATTATTTCAATTTTAATTTAATTTTGGGTTTGACATCGTTTCTTTCTTTTTTTTATCAGCAACCTCCACTAAGGGTTTGAAACCTTGAATTCGTGGTGGCTTTTGGAGCGGAGCGGAAGAAGATGGCCGCATCGAATTACGAATACCCAAGGCTCCAGCGGCCGGAAATAGTCGCAATCTTAGCGCAGTTTCAGATTGCCAATGTGACGGAACAGGAACTCGCCAAACCCAACCCTGACTTGGTCTCCGAGCTCTACACCCGCGTCCTGTTCCACCTCGGCATTCTCCTCGAGTCTCTCTCTTTTCTCTCATCTCGTCTTATTTATCGCTACATTCCTCACTCACCTTCTTCCTCTCTTCCTTTTTTTGCAGAGAAGACAACGAGCAACTCGACTTTGACGCCCTAGAGCATCTTGAAAATCCTGATTTCCACGTTGAATCCGTTCGCGCCGTCATACTCTTCAACAGGATAAAGGAGGTTCTCGCAGACATCGAATGCCCTGGCAAATTCACCTTCGCCGATCTCCTTGCGCCGGATTCTCACCGGACCGACATCTTCCTCGGCGCTCTTCTCAATTTCTTCCTCTACAGGTAAGTCTCTTTGCTTCCTCACTCGACTAAGAGAAAACCTAACTGTCATTGTTGTTTTTTCCATCCCAGGGACACGAAAATGAACACAGTGTCTGAGAGCGTGAACGAATTTAACGCTCTGGAGTTGCAGCATGAGGAGTTGGAGAGCAAGATGCTGCATGTCTGTGCCGAATATTTTTTCATCTCTTCCCATTTTCGAATTTGTTTATACTGAGTGAGTGGTTTTGTTGCAGTTGAAAGGGGAGATTGCGGAATGCAATGAGGCGAGGGAGAGAGAAATGCCTCTTGTTCAGGAGGAGTCGGCGAAAGTTAACGAGCTGAAGCAATCGATTGAGGCGCTGAACAAGCACCAGAGTTCGTTGAGGAGTACTTTGAAGAAGTTGAAAGATAGGACTGCGGAAATGGATCAGAAGGTCAGTGATTATTTACCATCTAATGCTCTGTGGCCAATAATGGAAGCTTAGTTGTTGAATCTTATATGTCATATGTTGGTGATTTTGGATGGTGTGTGAAAGAAACAACGGCATAGGAGTAAAAGGTTGAAACAATTTACATAGGTGTGAAGAGCTGAATCTTTGGATTATGTAGCTTGTAAGTGTATTGCGAGCAGCAGTTTGTCGAAAACGTTGGTTTCTAAGGTGGTCTTTCTCTGCTGTTATTCAGCAATTCACGCTTTAAACGGACTATGTTTAGTTGGATGCAAGTGTTTCTTAATTTGGATAGAGTATAGACATTGGTCATGGCTTTGGTTTTAATTAGTTGAGGCTATGTAGGTCTTTACTATTTTGTGTATTACATTGCGATGTGACTGTTTAAGCATTGTTTTCAGTTTGGTGTTGAAATTCCTACCTTGGTCTACATACTTCAACCCCCATTGATCCTGATAGTTTGACTACTTGGTGCATATATTATATAAATACTTACTCATCCTATTTTCCTTTTTCGTAACCCAGATTTCTAATGCTGAATTTACATTGGTACAAAACGTTCAAGAAAATGCAAATCTACGTTCAAAAATTGCCCAGTCACCTGATAAAGTACAGGTAATCTTTTTTATTTTGTTCACTCAAGTAGTTAGTAGCATGGATATTCAAATTCATTCATTTTAGTTTGTTCTTATATTCCATGCATAATCAAAGTTAATTGGCTTTAATTGTGTTCTTGGCTGAAAAATTGTGGCATACTTAGCATTTCTCCAACCAATTTGCTTGTATAAATATTATATTGGCAATTATCTGGCTACCTTCGTGTTGGTTCCCCACACGACAGTAGATCATCTTCTAGTTTTTTAGCACATTGTTAGTTTTAAACTGTTGTCCTTTTCCTGCAATTTGTAGTGGATTTTTACTAATGGGAAAAAAAGATTCTGTTACAATGGTTGGTTTAGATGTTTGTGCTCTTAGATAGAGTTATGAGATTTTTACTCTGCCAGTTCTCATGTAAATTTACTCCTCTTACCTTCCATGAAGAGAGCTTTAGAGGAAAAAAAATTAGCTCGAGAGGAGGCAAGGAACGCCAAAAGTTTAGCAAGGCAAGCTTTTCACGAGAAGACTGCCCTCGTTGAAGTTTTTTCCAAGGTATTTTATCAGCATAGCGGATCTTTTCTTATTCCCTCATTACCTGCACTTTAGGTCACAGTACACTTCTATGCATACTTTTCATGTGAATAGTGTGCACTTGTTGAGAAGTTTATTTCACGGAATTTTTGTTGCAGACTAGGTCTATTCTTAGCGCCCCTTCATCCACATTTCATTATCATAGCAGTGAATTTCTATTTTAATTTACTTATGGAGTTATGTGTTTTGAACAATGTTAAGAAAAGTTTGATATCTGAGTTGAAAGGAAAGGACAGTACAAGCAGGGAAGAAGAGGAAATTTTGTTTACAAAAGTCAACTTTTCTTGAGCATTTTCTCTTCTAACCAAACCAGAAAAGATATTTTGTCATTTGTGTCTGCTTTTCTTCTCTATTTCCTTTCCATCCAACCAATCATACTTAAGATTTACTCCAGAGTGCAATTGCAGCACAATTTTAAATTTTGGGAAGCCTGAGCTATTGAGTTGTAGGGCACATGTATGAACTGAACTGAGAAGTCAATTAGTTGGTGCCATTGCTGAAACTGGGTTGGGCTTAGGCAAGCTGAATCGTCCCTTCCATTGTGACTGGAAGACCAAACGGCATGGATTGACAGATGAAATTTGCCATAGATATTGTTGTTCAATCTTTAATATCTTTAATACTTAAATAGTTTCGGAAGGCAAACTACAATGTAAAGGGCTGTAACTCATGGATCAATTCAAGATATTTTGTTTCTTGAATGTTGATCACTTTATCGTTTATCATTATTTTAGGTGTACAAGAAAATGTCAAAACACTACAAGCTGATGCAGGATATACAAGAACAGGTAAACATACTCTGGTCAGTTGACTTCTGCCCTGGCATTTGTCATAATGATTGAAAATCTACTGGGGAAGAAGTGTT